CCCGGGCGCGGGATCACACCCGCCGGTGGCCCCCAGTGCACCCCTGCTGCAAACCGCCGAGGCTTGTGGGCCCAGCTCCCGGGTATACCCTTGGGCCGCCAGGCAGGGCTGCTGTCCAGCCACTCCAGGCCTGCCCTCCTGCTCCCCTGGGCGAGCGGAACAAAAACTCTAGGAGGGGCTGAACACACACCCTGGGGATGGCTGCCTTGGGGGGACAGTCTGAAGACCTCCAGAACCTAGATCTGCAGTTCCGAAGTGTGATGTGAATCATGAGATTTTGGATGTTCTAATCCAGTGGTTAATTTATCAGAGATCGGGACGGAGGATATGAGATCTGACAAATGTAAGAATTCCGTGGAGACAATAGAATCACTTGAAATTGGGCACTGCTTCAGAAATTCCCTCAGAGAGGGTTGCCCTCTCTTTAAGTAGACGTGGAGGGCATTCAGTCATTTTGTAGATGCAAAAACAGTTCCAAAAAGGTTAGGTGATGTGCTCATCTGTCTCCTTGCTGTCATCTCACTACCTGGAGCTCAGAGAAGGACTGGGAGTAACAGGTCCTGGAGCAGGCCAGACCAACTCTGCCTCCCTGTTGGCTCCTGGGTGTCTCGGCCCCCATCCCACACCCCTTGTGCCCAGTCCACCTTCTCCAAAACCCCTCACACCTCGTCCCCTCCTGACCAGGCTTCAGAAGACTCACACTCGCCACTCAGAGAGGCCCTCTGTCAGGAAGGGTGCCCTAGAGCAGGGGAAGGGGTCTCTAGCTGGGGTGCTTGGCCTGGACGGGTTCCTTTATTCAGAGGATACTAGCAAGCTCAGGGAATGTCTGCATTGGCCTGTTAGCCGGCTGGTTGAGTGGCTTCTTCTGCCAGTGCTTACCCCATCCTGGGGCAGAATAAAGCAACCCAGGGGGCAGAAAAGTGATTTATTTGTAGAGGAGGCTATGGAACAAGAAGAGCAGAGATCGTCTGAAGAGCACTACATAGAGAGATATTGAGCCAGGTTCTGACTACAGAACCTGTTTAAGAACTTGGGAGAGAAGATCAATTGTGCTGTTAAACTGAGGTGCTGAGAGATTTCCTATAAATTTCTCTCTGGGGTCCAGCCTCTGTCCCCTTGAAGGCATTTGCCAGCCCTTTTGACAGTGGAAAGCCCAGAAGAAGGGGAGGACTTAGGGGAGGAGTTCTAAGATGCCAGCATCTGTGCTCCCACTTCATCCTAGGCTCACAGCCCCCTACACACACACACACACACACACACACACACACACACACACAACTTACCACTTGTCAGCCCCAGTCTTTTGAAATTGTTCTTAGTTTGGAAGAAGAGGTGTCATTTTGCCCCAAAACAACCACCTCTAGTCCCTGGACGGTGCCTCCCACTTCTCCAGGCTTAGACTATGAGTCTGGGGGTCCCTGAACCCACATGTGGTGACTGACCATGGCCCCCCGGACCAAGGTTGGCAGGTGGGAGTGGGGAGAAGGCGAGGGAACCAGAAACAGGAAGTACAGAGGTGAGGCGAGGTGTGACCCAAACCTCTGCTCAGCAGGCAGTGGGTGGAGCCCCTGGGCAGGAGGCCTAGAAGTTCTCGTAATGGTGGGAGAAATGAGTCCGGTCCTGCCTGTTAATGAGCTGACAGGCTTTTTCCACATTCTTGGTCATGCCAGGGGGGCCACAGCTAAACACCCCAATCTTCCGGACCTGTTGGGGAAGGAAGAAGTGAAGGCTCGCTCAGTGTTCGGAGGGAGGGCTAGCTCAGGGTCCATGTTAAAGCCATGAAGAGTCCCTGACGAGGGCTCATTCCACGTTCCTGTGAAAGTTTGCTTCTACCATGCCTGGTGAGGGCCAGCTTGGTGTTTTTAAATCTAACTTGATTTTAGTAGACCTTCTCTCTGTGGGTCCAGCCTCTACCCCTTCCAAGCATTCGCCAGCTTCAAGTGCAAGCTTCAAGAGCAGTTTCCGATATGGGGCTGGGTTAATCAATGTTCAAGTTGAGGGATAGCTTAGTGTCTCATTAAGGGCTCACCCAGTGCTTATGAGAGCAGTGGCTTGCTCAGTGTTCATGGTGAAGATTAGCTCAGTGTCCAGGATGAGGCCTGGCTCAGCATTAGTGTGAAGGGTAGCTCTGAGTTTATGGTGAGGACTAGCTCAATCACTGAGCTCTTCCTTCTGAACAAGGCATCATGGCTTCAGAAGTGGCAAGTCCCTGTTGCCTGCCTCCCCACTTCCTCCTCAGGGTGACCCCCTCTTCTCCTTTCCCAGTTCATTACCTCACCAACTTCCCAGGGGGTGATGGGTTCTCATCGGCAGTCAATAGCTTCCCTGATGGAGCAGGTTTGGGAGCTTTGCTCAACCCCCCAGAGGATAAACTGAAGGGACCCTGGATGGGGGGGGGGGGGGGGGGAGGGACTGACCTGTGGGTGAACCTCCTGCAGGGAGTTGAAGAAGGGCTCAAAGGGGGGACGACCAAAGTGGGTGACAGAGCGCAGGCCCGTGAAGAGACTCCGGTTCAGCACCTTCTGGAAGTGCCGCTCACAGATGTACTGGGGGCACAGGGGCAGGTCAAGACAAGGACAATCAGGGTCAGTGCCTGGCCCAAGCCAACCCAAAGCCTGGGTTGGGAAGGGAGCTGGAGGCTGAGTATCGGAGCCACCTGCTCTGTGCCTCCTGCCAACTGAGCCTGGCTGTCCATCCACCTTCCCTGGCCATCCTCCTTACCCTGCTAAGCCACTCAACTACTGAGCTACCCTGCCTGGCTGGCCCTGACGTACCAGCATGGTGGTCCTGAGGTCGAACTTCTCAGCCAGCTGGGTGATGTAGATGTGCACGGACACCAGGTCCTGGTGGTCATTCTCCTCCACCTCTCGGATGATGTCAGCCAGCCACTCGAACTGCCGCTGGGTCCGTGTCACCCAGATGAAGTAGATCTGGGGACAGGGCTGGAGCTTAGGGCCCAGCTCAGCTCAGGCTCCTTATACCCCAGGGATTTGCACACCAATAGAACTCTTCTGGCCAGCGTGTGCCCCTCTCCAGATATCCTGGGGAATGGAGTGTAGGGGGCCACAGGGCCAGGCTCTGGAGCAGGACATGGAGTTGCCCCAGGGCATGGAGAAGTGCAAGTAAGTGACAGCCTGGGGCACCTGACGGTCTGAGCCTATCCTGCCATTCTCTCCAATGTGCCCTCCTTAGGCTCTCAACCAACCAAAGCCCAGAAGGAGAGGGTACCACTAAAGGGCTCGTCACAGAACATCTTCAGGGAAGACCCAGCTGGCTGTCTGGAGGGGATGGGAATGGACTCAGAGACCAGGGGGATGGAAACTTCCCTAGGGGAACCCATCTCCAGCTTCTGATGGGGGAAAGTGGGGCTGTTTAGGTTAAGAATCAGAGGCAGCCTGGCCAGTGTGGCTCAGTGGTTGAGCGTCGACCTATGAACCAGGAGGTCACGGTTCAATTCCCAGTCAGGGCACATGCCCGGGTTGCAGGCTCAATCTCCAGTGGGTGTGCAGGAGGCAGCCAATCATGATTCTCTCTTATCATTGATATTTCTATCTCTCCCTTCCTCTCTGAAATCAATTATATATATATAAATTTTTTTTTCCCAAAAAGGAAGCACAGGCAGAGCTGGCTTGGACAGAGGAGCAGAGAACTGTCACCTCTGAATGCTGACAGCATATGGGCTGGGCCTCTGCCTGCTGCATTCCTGCACTCCTGACTCACCTGCCAGGCCTAGAGAGACAAGCAGGGGCCTGCCACAAGGTGCAGGCTGGGGTGAAGGGGCCTGGCGTGGAGGGGTCCTGAGGGCCTGGGCTGTGTTCCTGGAGCCAGCCGTGCCCATCAGCCCTGCCTACCACCTCCTGTTCTCTTACTCTTGAGAGCAAAGCCAGTTTCACCTGTGCCCCACCCCAAGCGTGCCCTTCCTTCTCCCAGGCTGACAATGCCTCAAGTGCTAGCCTTCCCTGTAGGAGGGGAGTTTCTTCACCTTTCTCTGGCCTGCCTGGAGGGATTCCCTATGTGGGGTGCTTCATAACTGAGGGAAGGAGCTCAGGGGCATCAACAAACTAACTCTGTCCTTTAGGATCTGGGGATATCCTGCCCACCCCACCCCAGCCCACCCAGGGCCAGGCCAGCTTGGCCTTGCCTAGACTAGGGAGACCAAGAACAGAGGCAGGAGAGCCAGCACAGATGGACACAGTGATCAGGAGCAAGGGACATGGGCTGGGGGGCACTTACCTTCTTACAGAACACTTGGTAGCTGACTGACGACTTGAAGACCAGGTCTTTGAGGATGGAGGCAAAGGGGGTGACCCCAATGCCCCCTCCTACCAGCACTGACACCTCAAACTTATGCCATTCCTGGTGGCCCTCTCCAAATGGCCCATCGAGGTACAACTGCAGGGAGGAGAGTGGGTGTGAGTTAAGCTCTCAGCTACCACCACAGTTCTGAAGCCAGAAATGAGAGGCAAGAAAAAGCAGGTAGGTTAATGGAGTGAGGGGGGAGGGGGACTGTGGCTTTATCTGGGACAGCCAGTCTCTGGATGGCGGAGGGAGGAGCACAGTGGGCCTACTAAGGGGCTGTGGGAGCATGTGGCACATCTGGCCTGGGTCTGGGCACCTTCGGGTATCTGGCACAGCCGTTGGTCGGGGGTGAGTAGATCTCCCTGAGGCGAGTGGTCCAGGGCCCTGCCGCCCGGATGTGCAGGCTGAGCGTGTCCTCATGGGGCGCAGAGGTCAGTGTGAAGGGGTGGTACTCGGTGGTCCCCAGAGCCAGGCAGGCGATCCGCACCCACTGTCCTGACTTGTACTCAAAGCCTTGGGGCCGCTGGAACTGCAGGTGGGTCACCCCTGAGGAGGGGAGGTGGGCGGGAGGCTGCTGTCCTGAACCCAGCGACAAAGTGGTCTCCAGAGAGTTCCCCCACCGCAGCCTCAGCTCTGCTCTGGAATATGCCAGGGGACCTCCCCCCATCAGACCTCATTACTCCCCTCAGGCCCTGTCTGCCCTGAGGAGGGGCTGGTGGTCAGCACGGCAAGGAACAGCCTGGCCTGGGCTTCTCCTCTCTGTTGTGAAAGAGGCTCAGGGCCCCTGGCAAAGAGCTTCTTTTACCAGCTCCCTCCTCCCTTCCACCCCAAGGCCCCTGCCAACGCCACGGGGCCAGACTAGGAGACTGCAAGGTCCAGCTCTGCTCTGCTTCCTCAGTTCCACCAAGCTGGGCCCCTCACAGCCTCTCGGCTGGTACCTGAAGGCAGCAGCTCGGCCTTCACCACGCTGATCTCCACTTTCTTCCGGCTCAGGCTCACCAGCTTGTCCCCCCCGTAGATTAGTGCCGGGACCAGGAAGAAGATGTGGAAACGGGGCAGCTGGATCAGAGCGAAGCTGCCGTGGATGATGAGCTGAATAGAGTGAAGGATACCGCTCAGACCCGGCCACACCCACAACGGTTCTGCGGCCAGCTTGGGGCTGAGACCCCTGTATCATTCCTCACTGGCATGTCCACGCCTCACCTCACTGTGTGCCATGGTCCTTCCAGGTTCCAAAACCGACTGTTCCCAACCCCATCCTCCAAAGCATCCTTGACGAGTAAGACTATTTGCATCTCTCCAACACCATCCTCGACCAAGCCATGTCAACTCTCCCCTGCACTCATGCAGTAGCCTCCTAACTGGTTTTCCACTGGGTTTCCCCATGTGATCGATTCTCTCCAAGGCAGCCAGTGTGACTTTTTAAAGTTCATTTTATCATGTCACCCCCAGCTTTAAAAGCCTTAGCGGCCTTCCCATTGCACCACAAGGCCTCGTGATACTCTGATCCCTGCCTGCCAAACATGGCAAGTCCTTTCTGCTCCACGACCTTTGCACCTGCTGTTCCCTCTGCCAGGAATGCTCTTCCCCTGGCTCTTCCTAGATTATCTCCATCTCATGCTTCAGGTCTCAGCAGAAACACCGCCTCCCTGGGCTTTCCCCCAGTCCTCTCTCTCACAGCTCCCTGCTAACTGCCTTCAAAGCACTTGTCAGCCACAGTAATTGTGATTCTCCATTCATTGACCTGTTTGCTGTTGCTTTCCCCAGTGGACTGCTGGGGTAGGTCCTGCTTCCATTTTGTTTGCCACTATTCTCTCAGCTCCTAGCGGTTTCTGCCTGGCACATGGTAGGCACTCAATGAAAGAAGTTCCCCCAATGGATCTTCTGCCTTTGGAGTCTAAGAACACATAACCAGTCTCCGTTTTCCATGAAATAACTGACAGGCATTGTCCAGCTCTAGTCCTTTCCTCCATAAGCTGGTCAGACACTCCTTGCCCCGTTCCTCCCACTTGCTTGCTCCTAAGTCTGGTCAGTCTGGCTTCCCCCTCAGGCTCTTCTCGGGATCTTCTCACTGAGGGCTCACGAATGGCCAGACCCCAAGGTGTCCTTTCAGACCACTTTGCTCCCTGCCTTGGCACCTGTGGCCCAGTGCCCCCCTCTCCCCCACCCCCCCGCCACCTTGACACTCCCACAACAATATAATGCTCTCCTGGGTCTCCCTCCTCTCAGGCCACTCACTCTCGACCTCCTGCACTGACTGTTCCTTCTCCACCCCAACCCTTGTGTTGCCCAAGCCCAATTTCCTCACCCTCTGCTTGTCTTTCTATGCTCTCCCACGTAGCATGGCTCTCAGCTGAACCACAGCCTCTCAGCTTCAGTGCAATTCACACAGGTCCACCGTGTCCTGCCACCACCTAACACCCTTGGCCAGCCTGCACTGTCTCCTCGGTGCCCTGAATATTCTGTCATCATTCACACCTCCACACCTGTGCTCATGCCCTCCCTTCTACCTGAAATGCTCTTCAGCTTGCCCTCTGCCCTGTCAAACCCTAGCTTATCTGTCCGTAAGGCTTGGCCCAAGTCCCATCTTCTCCCTGAAGTCTTCCCTAACCAGTTTGACCCAAATGAAACTCCCTTCAATGAGCTCCTGTAACTTACTTTTCAGAACACTCAGCTCAGCAATTAATCCTGTATTGTCTGCTCATGTCCATCATTTCACATGCATGGCGTTTACCTCTGCCGCAAATCCTAAATTCCTGAGGGCAGAGCATCCAGTCTCCCCTTCCCCGCAGGGCTTAGCACAGAGCTAGGACCTAACAGACTCTCAGCACAACTGTTAAACTCTGCTTCCTCATTCACCTCTCCCTTCCCCCAGCTGAGGGTCCCAGAACTCGTGAGCCTTTCCCCACAGGATTCACTTGAGCCTCTCGGAGCTCTCCTCTGAACTGGCTCCAGTTCCCCCAGTTCCTCGTTCATTGTGGAGCCCACGCCCACCCCCAAGGCTTTCTGAGCATCCAACCAGGCTGAGAACAATGCCAGGGTGACCTCATGCTATACACCCTGTTTGGTGTTGGCTCTACTTTTTAACCACAATCTGCCCTCTGGCTGAGGAGCTGGGGGAGCAGCTGCCAGCTCAGCTTTGGCTGTGCTAGCCCTGCCTCTCCAGCCTTCTGGGGTCTACTCCACCCCACCCTGGGTCTTTTACTTGTAACTTCTCTTTCTGCCTGAGGTCAAGTGGCCACACCTGTGATGAATGGGAAGGAAGCGGGTGTTTTGTCCCTGACCTACCCTCAGGGGAGAAGCTCCCAAGCTGCCAGGGCTAGGACTGCCCAGCAGAGGGGCCTACACCTTTCTGAGCTGCTGACTTCCCTGCTGGCAGGAAGGGGGGTTCTCAACTCCAGTGATTCTCCCCAACCAGAGATTAATCAGAAAGGGGTCTTGGTCTCAGGGAGCCAGTCTCCCATTAGTTCAAAGAAGCTCCTCTTTCACGAGGAATAAGAACATCACCTCCACCCCTGCCAGAAACAGTAACTAGGGCTCCACCCATTACCGAGGAGGCGGTGAGGAAGGGATAAATTAGCTTGAGAGAGATTTCTTTGGAAATAAACATTAATTCTAGGGAACAACCTAAGCCGAGGAAGGGATAAATTAGCTTGAGAGAGATTTCTTTGGAAATAAACATCATTAATTCTAGGGAATAACCTAAGCCGAGGCTGGGTAGTCATCTTCAGAACTGTGGAGTACCAAGCCTTGGGCAAGACAGAAATAGACCCTCCTACCTATCAGTGAGGACGGAACAGCACCTGGGAGGAGACCCCTGTGTGCAGTTCCGCCTGGAGCCAGTGACGGAGAAGGAAGCCATATGGACTATGCATTTCTTAAATGCTCCCAGCCAAACTGTCATTAGTGGGGACTTGGTTTAGCTCCTCAACAAGCAGGTCCTCAGGGTGCCCTTTTGGGAACTGCCTGTGTCCCTGAGGAAGGCAGGCCAAACAGAACCATGACACAGGCGCATAGATCAAAGTCAGCTCCGAAGCAGCTGACAAACCCAGGGAAGGAGGAAGGGAGCAGGACAGGAGAAAGGAGGGAATGTGAAGGAAGGCAGGCAGGGGCCCAGATTAAGGAGAAGGAAAGGGGAAAGGGGGCCTTAAAAATCCAGTTTATCAGCAGTCCAAGTGAAGACTTTTGGAGCAAAGTCATCAACTTTCTAGGTAGCACTTAGTTGGGTAGGGTGGCTAACATCTTAGAAAATGGGATCAGAACAAAAGCGGCAAAACCCAATTAAGATAAGTTTCTCTAAAAAAGGGCAATACTCCCTTGAGCGTAGGCAGCCCACCCTGGAGCCCTATCCAGCCACTCAAAGTGGAGAAAGACTGGCTGGGCAAAATGATGTGGGGTATCTGCTGGGAATGCAGATCAGTCTGCTAGAGCTGCTACTGCAAAACCCAGGCCGGCAAGTCCATCTCCAAGCGCTGCGTGTCAGGGTCAGTCTACTCGAAAGTCCCCTACTATCATCTCCATCTTTTAAGTGACAAATGAAGAGGATACTTGAAATAACTAAGGGGATGGAGAACCGACGTCTCAGCCCTCACTGCCTCCCTGGGAACATCTTGCCCAGACCCCATTAGCCTGGCTCAGAGCCAAAAGCCCTCACCAGGATGTAGAGCAGGATGTAGAGGTGGTGGGTCAGCCAGAAGCCTCGGAAGCTGCAGCGCCGGAAGTGGTGGGAGGCGAAGACATACATGATGGCCAGGACCAGGAGCATTATAACCCCCGTGAGGCCTGCAAAATGAACAAGGGTTCTGAAGGGCAAAGGAGCGAGGCTGTTCTGGGCCTGCCAAGGGCCTGGACCCTTTTCCACCCCACTGTCCTAGGAGGCGGTGGGGAAAGCCCAGCATCTTCCTCTGTTCCTCTCCCTTCACACCACTGGTCACAGGTACCTCTCGCTTCTATAGACCCTACTCATCCTTCATAGACTTTGTCAGGATATATATATTTTTTTCGCCTCCGTTCTCTTTATTGGTGGGAGTTTAAGTTGATGTATCTTTTTAAAAGTGTACATACCCTTTGAGTAAGGAATTCATCTGTTAGGAATTTATTCTACAAATATATCAAGAGGAATGCAAGAATACATGTACAAGATGTTCATGGAAACATAATTTGTAACAGTAAAACAGCTGGAAATAACTTAAATGCTCAAGAATAGGGAACTGGCTGAGTAAAATTATAGCATAGGAATACAATAGAATAGTATTCTGCCACAAAGAAATGAGGCAGATGTACTGGTATGAGATGTCTAAAATAAAATGCTGCCCTGACTGGTTTGGCTCAGTGGATAGAGCATCGTCGGCCTGACTGAAGGGTCCCAGGTTCGATTGTGGTCAAGGGCATGTATCTTGGTTGTGGGCATATCTCCAGTGGGGGATGTGCAGGAGGCAGCTGATCGATGTTTCTCTCTCATTGATGTTTCTAACTCTCTATCCCTCTCCCTTCCTCTCTAACAGCTGGCTGTGTTCCCCTGTGATGGAGTTCTGACTTGGCTCAAACAATAGTTCATTCAAGTGGACACTTTCTGGGCTGTCATGGAAAACGTCAATAAAAAACCTGGTTCATCTGAATGCTGAATCCGGGCTTTTATTTCTGCTAAGCTGGTCTCCCCCTCTTGGGGGACTGAAGCTGCTGCCTCCTCCTCAGTGTCCTCTACCTTAGTCACGGTAAAGTGTGGCATTGTTGTTGAAATCCTGTGCTTTTTCTGTATTTAAACTTCCTTCCAAGTCTACTCCGCCCACCCCTTCCTCGCTGTGTCCCTTTCAGATTCTGTCAGGATATTTTTCAAGTACCTGTGCTTTATGTTCATCACTTTCCTGGCTCTCAGCTTCACAAGAACAGGGCCAAGCTAGGCTAGTTCACCACTGAACCTAGTGTAGGGCCTAGTGTAGGGCCTGGCACACCGTGGGCCTTATATAAATGTATGTTGAATAAATGAATGCATGGGGCTGGGACTCTGGACATTGCAGACCCTGCCTTATGCAGTCAAGGCTTGTACCAAGTCCCTGCAGCACTCCACCTCGCTGCTGCCACAGCACACAGCGTGAGCACCGGTGAGTAAGTGCTACCCCTAGAGACCCCCCTGGGTTCAGCCCCGAGTTAGTGGGAGGCCCCTCTTCACAGGGAATCCCAGGCCTGGGCTACCCAGGAGGGCAATACTGGAGCCAGAATGGGAATGCAGGGGTCAGAGAAGGGGCCCTCAAGGATCAAGGAGGAGAGAGGCACAAATTAGGAAGATTAGAGCCCCGAAGAACGGCAAAGCAGAGGTTAAGAAGGGATCTAACCAAAGCCTGTCAAGTACAGAATGGAGAGCAGAGCATAAACACGGGCTTATCCTGGAAACCCCAGTGTGCAGGAATTAGCAGGCACTCTCTGAAGTTCAAAGCAGATCACTTTAGGATTAAAAAAAATAAAAAATTAAAAAACGGTGCTTTGTTTCATAGAGGAGTGAGTGTAGAAAACGTGTTGCCCCAGGAAGGGAACAGATTGAAAATATAAATAGGTTGAAGAAGTGTTTGAATAGATTCACAGCTAATAGCCCTAAAATGGGTGATTATGGGGAGTTAGGAATATGCCTCTAAACAGCCCTTGTCAAGACAGACTAAAAGGGGTGGGGAGGGGGGTCTGCCTGACTTGACAAGAGCCTGGTCCCTCCCCCATGCAGCTGGGGCACAGTATTTCTCAGAACCAGTCCTGGCAGGTGTGTGCACTAGGGGAGAGGAGGGGCCCCTCCCGTCCCACAGAGGGAGGAACTAGTTCAGGGCTGGGGTGGAGCCCAGTCAAGCTCCAGAGAGAAGCACTAGAAAGCAGTCTCCTACTGCCCAGGAGCGTCCTCGGGGCCAGAGGGCAGGGCCTGACTGACCGTGAGAGCCCAGTGAGTGCAGCTGGGCTGCTCTGTTGGTAGAGAGAGCCCAGAACCTGGAACTCGGAGCCAGGCCCAGAAATTCACGGAGCAGGAAGGGCTCTCACCTGGCACCGTCTGGAAGAACCACCAGTAATACTTCTGGGGGAACTCGGACCTGTGGGGAAGGGACGCAAGGGAGGATCCTGAGAGGAGATGTCTGGGACGTCCAGAAAGGACCCTCCAGATGAGGCACCCCAACCCAGCCACAGCCCCCCTTTCTGCTGACTCGGGGCGGGGGGCTCAGGCTGGTCATTGTCTGTCCTATAACCTGGAAGGTGACACTCTCCTCTGAGCAGAGATAATTAGATTCTTTCAACTCACAAATAATACACCCTTTCTCCTCGCTCACTACTCACCCATCATCATGGAAGAGGCCAGGGAAGAGGCAGGAGAGGATGCTGAGTGGGCTGATGGAGAACAGGTACACGTTCACCACGTGGCCTGCGCTGTGTAACACTAAGGAAGACCAGGCGGATGGGGTGAGCCTGGGGGCAGCCGGGTGGGGGTGCTCAACCCATTCAGCCCAAGGCGAACTCCCGCCAGCCAGAGGTGGGGGCCTGAAGAAGGACCCTAGGGGGTTGGATTTCTGATCTCTGAGAAACTTCCTGTTCCTCCCCATGTCCCATATACACCCCATCCGTGAAGACAACCATGAGTCTAAATTATATATTAGAAGTCCACTCCTTTGGTTCCTCTCTCAGAACTATCTTTTAAAACATAAACGTTGCAAGATGGCACATTCTGTACACTCATCCTGGGGTGTTAGGAACTTGTCAGGTAGAGGCTGGTGAGGTGGCCCTGAAAGTATAGGAAGAGGCCCTGGGGCGGGGGGCGGGGGGCATTGAGGGGCTCCTGGGCTACTGCACACCACTGCTGGGGCCGCCGCCATCCTTATGAGAAGGACAGCGAAGACTCACTCTCACGTTAAGCACAGCGAGCACTCACTCTGGGAGAGGGACTAGGGGCTCTCGGAGGAGGGGATGCCAGTGGGGGTGGCAGGACAGGGAGAGGATGCCCTCCACCCCAGGCCCTGCCTGTGAGGACGATGGCAGTGGAGGCGATGAGGCGATGGAAGTCCACGGCGGCGTCGAAGGGCACGTAGCGGTTGAGGAAGGTCTCCCGCAGGAAGGTGATGAGGTTGCGGCACATGGTGAGCAGGATGTAGGAGAACATGAAGGAGACGCTGGCGGCCGTGCCCCGCGACAGGATGATGCCCACAAAGGTGGTCTGTGCGATGCCCGAGGGTGGCGAGGCAAAGGCGTAGTCTGCAGAGGGGCCCAGGCGGGTGAGGGGGGGCAGTGCAGTGGAGACAGCGCTACTGAGGGAGGTCACCCGCAGGCCCCGGCCAGCCCTCGCCCACAATCGCCTCCCCAAGTCCCCATTCCAGCTGCCCAAACACCCACTGCAGGCCTTGCCCCAAGTGTCTGTCATTCACACAGTAGGCCCGCTCTCTCCTCCCCGCAGCCGTCAATCAAGCAGGCCCCGCCCCCAGGGCTCTCCGTTTTTGCGAGTCCTGTCCCCACCCCCGGGGCCAGCACGCACAGTAGGCCCGCTCCAGGAAGAGGCCCGCGGCGATGGTGTAGAACACAGCCACGCAGCCGATGTGGCGCCGGTAGTTCTCGATGAAGCGCTTGAACTGCTGCACGGTCTGGTGGCGACGGCTTCGCTGGAACTTCTGTCGGTGAGCCTCGGTGAACAGCAGGGGCTGAAACAACGTCACCCTGGGAGACAGCAAGTCTTGGCTCTCAGGTAGGGACCTGGCGCTAGTGCAGCCCAGCTCCCATCCCAGTCTGAGCTCGGGAGAAAAAGGGCCCCGAGTCACTCAAGCTAAGCATGGCTCAGAGTCCAAAGGCTATTACCACACTCTTCCAGCGAGCTGTCAATGCAGGGACTCCTGCAAGTGGTCACTGGGTCAGTTCATCCCAGGGGATGCACTTCATCTACCCCAGTTCTCACTCACAGACAACCCTCTCCCCTCCCAATCTGAGCTCCCAACTCCACAACTCTATTCTCACTCTACACTGGAGCTCAAAGGACACCTCCTCCAGGAAGCCTGCCCTGACCTCCCAGACAGAGATGAGCATTTCCTTGAGCTCTGAAGCCCCTTGCTCTTACCACCATTATACCATTCAGCAGTGGGACACTGCAGTTCTCAGTGTACCAGGCTATCTCATATGAGGCTGTGCTTAAGATAGTGCCTGGCACCAAGTAATCAATGCATGCATGCTGAAAGGATGGATGAACTGCCTGGGCTTGGGGAAGAAGCAGGCGTACTTCTTGCCAAACCTCCGTCGAACCTCCTGGGGAGGATCGGTGTCCATGGGGCACTGCAGTCTCTGTGTTGTCCGCTCCACCTCGACATCACTGCGGGAACAGCGAGCACTCACTCTGGGAGAGGGACTAGGACAGGAATGCAGGAGATGGAATTTTGGTTACCCAAGCCACTTGGTGCTCCGTTGACCCACTCTGTTGAAGAAGGGTCAGAGCTCTCAGCCAGAGGACAGCAGGATTCCCAGAGACCTAGATAATGAGTCGCATCCTGGGCGTTCTAGACAAGGCTGTCACAGATAGCTGTGCCCGTTACAAGGGCCTCTGACCCAGGCCAAAGGTGAATGCAGGGCTGTGTCAGCAGAGGAAGAAGTGTCTTTTTCTGATTTGCACGAAGACTTGATGTAGGCTAGTGGGGGCTGTGATCCCAGGCATTTGGGGGAGAAAAAAGGCAACTCCCGGTCCCCAGCCCTCCCTCCAACATTCCCAGATGAGGGCTCACCAGAGCTTATCCTGGCTGATGTAGGAGGCTCTCCGGCAGAGATCCTTGATGACTTCAGGCACCTCCACTCCTGCAAAATGCAGAGCTGGGCTAGGGAGCAGCTCAGGGCCCAGAGCCTCAGGAGGACCTGGCTCAAATGTCCAGACACTATAGAGCAGCGGTTCTCAACCTGTGGGTCGCGACCCCTTTGGCGGTCGAACGACCCTTTCATAGGGGTCGCCTAAGACCATCCTGCATATCAGATATTTACATTATGATTCATAACAGTAGCAACATTACAGTTATGAAGTAGCAACGAAAATAATTTTATGGTTGGGTCACAACATGAGGAACTGTATTTAAAGGGCCAAAGGTTGAGAACCACTGCTATAGAGGGTCCCTGGCCAATACCCTGCCTCTGGGTGCCCCAGCCTCAGCCTGTGTCCCCAGTGGGAGCAGCCCTAGCCACCGTTGGTCAGGGAGAAGGCCTGCAACAAAGCTGGCCAGGCAGGCTCCCCTGAGTGTGTGCTCACCTTCAGTCTCACTCCTGGGACTAGAATCAGGCTTATGGGGCAGAGTTCAGGATCTATATGCAACCCGTCTGCTAAAAACATTCTGCCACAACCCCCCACTAATGACCCTCCAGCTTAAAATCTCTGTGGAGTTAAGTGTAGAATCTAGGTGGTGCATATATGGGAGATTCCACTTTTTTGTGTTAGAAAATGTTCATAAGAAAAGGGTGGGGGGTGGGGGGAACACCCTTCCAGGAGCTGCCCATTGTTCCCTGTCTGGGCTGAGCACTTAGGGACAGGGCAGGACTGAGCAGCCAATCCAGGTTCTCACAGGAGACCTGGGAATCTGCAGGTCACTTCCAAGTGCTAAAACCAATCCTGAAGATTACCCTGGTCTACAGGCCAGAGGCCAAACGTGATTAAGCTGAATTTAATGAAATCAGAGTGTTGAAAACAAAGTAATCTATCCCCTCTGAAATGCTTTAGCAAACAGCAGATGTGGCAAAAACGGTAACAAATGACAAATCTTGGTGAGGGAGAAAGAGATGCTCCTTTAAACTCTAGGTTTAATATGTTTCAAAGTAAAATTTGGAGGAAACAATAAAGTACAACAATTAAAAGTCAAATGGGCCCTGGCTGGGTAGCTCAGTTGGTTAGAGTGTCATCCCAATACACCAGCGGTTCTCAACCTGTGGGTCGAGACCCCTTTGGGGGTCGAACGACCCTTTCACAGGGGTTGCCTAAGACCATCGGAAAACACATATATAATTACATATTGTTCTTGTGATTAATCACTATGCTTTAATTATGTTTAATTTGTAACAATGAAATTGGGGGTCACCACAACATGAGGAACTGTATTAAAGAGTCACAGCATTAGGAAGGTTGAGAACCACTGCAATACACCAAGATTGCGGGTTTGATCCCAGGGCACATACAAGAAGCAACCAATGAATGTAGAAATATGTTGAACAACAAATCTCTCTCTCTCTCTCTCCAATAAAATTTTTTTTTTCATTAAAATGCCAAACAAAATACTCATTGCTAACCTTCTACTTAATCTCCTTTCCCAAGCCTGGTCCTTCCTCCACCCCAGGGGCTGTACATCCGGGACTCTGGCTTGCGCTCACTTCAGGCACCCTCTCCTGCTCTGCCCTCAGGCCTGGGTGCCTCCTGCTCTGGCTGCCTGGGAAAGGTGAAAAGCTGCAGAATTAGACTTGCTGGGTCTGCACTCTACCAACTCTCCTCCCAACCTGGGCAGGGGAAGCCCTGACCAGAACCCAACTGTGCCTTGTCTAACTCACCCCTCTCACCTGGACTGCTCAGCTCCCCCAGGGCCTCATAATCCTGGGAGGGGCTGGGTTTGGTTTCAACATGCCCCAGTGAGGATCCCAGGCTGTGAAGACACAGTAACAGCTCAGAGCAGGCCACAGGCAGTCCCTCTGCCTGCTCTCTGCCCACTCCTCACCCTGATTCTAGCCCCACCCACTGAGTCAGACACAGGAAGGGCAGGAAGTAGGGGGAGACAACAGGAGTGGGCCTCCATGCACTTAGCAAACATTTACTGACCACTCCCCTGGGGAATAAAGTGGCAAACAAAACTAGAACACCCACCACTACCAGACACCCCAGCTGAGGTGGGTATGGCCGGGGTAGGGCTGTAATGAGGAGACACTGTTTCCCCTCTGCACTGGCTCCAGGCATAGGGTTCTTTGACAAGAAAGAGGAATTCCAGCTGCCATTCCCCACGCTATCCTGACCCTGCACACCCCACCAGCAGGGCTGCATTATGACTTTTGTGGGTCCCAGGCCCCGTTGTCTTCCTGGGCCTCTTCCTCCATTAAAAAATAAATTAAAAATTATATTTAAAATAATTATATTGGTGTAAAGCAGAGGTGAGGAACCTTTTTTTCTGCCAAGGGCCATTTGGATATTTATAACATCATTCAACGGCCATACAAAATTATCAACTTAAAAATTAGCCTGCTATATTTGGTCAAACATTTAAATAACTCACCCCTAATGCCTCGGCAGGGCCGGACCAAATGATTCTGTGGGCCTTATACAGCCCGTGGGCCAGATGTTCCCCACCCCTGGTGTAAAGAATATAATCCAGGCTGGATATGTCATTACATATTTATTATTATACTAATTCTCTTTTATGATTTTATTTTATGATTTTTTTCTTGTCTTCTGATTTTAAAAGAAACGAAAACATTTCCATGGATTCCCAAAATACATGGGCCTTGTGTACTGTGCCTGCTGTGCCTAACGGATAAGTCAGCCCTACCTCCAGGCTCCCTCACCTTTGACACAGAGCTGTGTGAAGCGGAGCTCACTGTCGTGGTCCCGCAGCATGAAGTGGAAGTCCTCCCATGTCAGTTCCTCCTTGTCCTGGAAGCCCGACTCCCGGAACATGGACTCCACCACCTCCGCCAGCTGGGCCTTGGACAGGCAGTTGTTGGAGATCTCGATGAAGGACCTGGGGGTTGGGGGAGGGGAGCTATCAGGCCCTGACAAGGGGCCTGGGGCCTAGACACAAGGGCTCACTGGCCATCCCACCAGGCAGGCCTTCAGAGCCCACATGGAAAGACCCCGATGGGCCTTTCCCAAGCCCCCTCTTAGCTCTAACAGTCTCTGGCTCTGTGGGTGAGAAGGTGGGGGCCCCCTGCTCTTTACCCGCCTGCTTCTTCCTTCGTGTCCCACCCTTCCCTCTGCGGTCCCTGCTCTGGCCCACTCTCCTAGCTGTCCCATTGGACCAACCTCAGCATCCTGATGAACTCGTCCTTGGAAATAAGACCATTCTCATCAAAGTCGTACATGCGGAACATAAGGCGAGACTTCTCCTCAGGGGAGCCTGGGAGGAGGAGGAACCTATGAGCGGCCCAGACCTCCTGTCTAAACCCAGGCTGGCCTGGAGGGGCCTTACACTAGTGTGACCCACTGCTGGACACAGCGAGGGGTTGCTCTGCTTCCTGACTCTATCGGGGTGCTCCCAGATGTCTGCCATGGCTAGAGACCTGACCCCAGTGCTTCCCCATCTCCAGCAGGTCAGCTACACCCCAGCCTCAGGCTCCAGCCCCTTCCATCTTCTCCTATCTGGGCAATCACTCCCTCCTCCACTACCTTTCATGAAGACCACCAGGATGTCCAGGAACTCCCGGAAGGACAGGTAGCCATTGCCGTCTTTGTCGGCCAAAGAGAACATGGACTCCACAAACATGTCCTGGGGCTTGAGGCCCAGGGACTCGGCAAACTCGACCCTGCTGAGCTCACACGTCAGGGCCTCCTGCACCTTCTGAGATGAGTCCAGGGGCAGGGTCCCTGCATCTGCCTGGTCGATGTCCAGCACCTGCACTTGGGCAGCAGCAGAGGGAGGGAGAGAAGGAGACAGGGATTCCTTGACTCGAAGGCCAGTTGAGCCACCTTTTAAGGTACCTGCCCAGCACCCCCTCCCCTAAGCACTACCCCATAAGCCCTGTGGGTGGCCCCTGTGGCCATTTATTCTACAGAACCTTGGCCCCCTGCATTAGCTGACTGGACCAGGGATGCCCACTTGAGCCACGCAGGGGACCTGGAATTGGGACTGGGAGGTCCTAGGTCTGTCTTGCCTGAGCACAAGGAAACTCAGAAGTTGTGGACCACCCTGTTCCTCCAAGTGCTCAGAGACGCAGAGACAGAGTGAAGCAGCAGCACAGAGGAGAGGAGGCAGCCTGTGAGGCAGCCTTGTTTGCTGACAGCTTTCCCTTCCCTGGTCCTTTCCAGGCCAGGCCACAGCCCTCCCTTTGGGATTCCTGAGACACTGCTATATCCTGAGTCAACTGACCCTTCAGCAGTGCTGGCTTGAGCGGGTGGCTCTTATATCCAGAGTTTTGACTGAGAGAAAAGCTCAACTGGGTTGAGAAAAAGCTGGGCTTGGGGAGGGGAAATTCTCATCATGAGCCATCTTCACCCCCATCTCCCCCCCGCAAGGGGCTGCCCAGCATAAGGAGAACAGACGATTAGGGAAGCAAGCAGCCTGCAAACCACAACACCTGTTGTTCCTGCCTGTCAACTAGAAGCCCCTACTTCAAGCCTGGCTGTGATTTCATGAGGTAAACCTTGTTGCTGGAAACAAGGTGCTTTAGCGGAAAGAGCCTGGGGCTAGAGGCAAGAGACCCAGGTTCATGTCCCAACGGTGCCACTGTCTCACTGTGTGGCCTCAGGCAAGTCTGTTCAGTTGTCTGGCATTCGTTTCCTCACCTGCCCGACCTATCTCACAGGGTTACTGTGAGAATCAACAAGAGAGGCTGTATAAAAAAATATCTGAAAGCTGAAAACACTGAAAGGGTTGGCAGCTACCCCAGGAAACAGTAGCACACCCTCACCTCCCAACACAGGGAGTTCTCTTTCACAGCCCTGGCGGATCCTGAACTGAGTGGAGGTGCCTGCCCGGGCCCTGGCAATGAGTCACCCCAGCAGGGGGACCCTCCGTTCTAGTACATACTCAAGTTCAACTTGTTTGAACAGTACATGATGTAGTCAGGTGCACACAGCTAATGACCATTAAATGGTAGCTTCCCTCATGGATCCTTTCTACAGCTAGCCAACCCTGCTCCTTCTCCTCAAACACTGATTTTTTTTGCCCTTCTACCGGGTACCTCCTTTCTTCTTCTTCTTCTTTTGGTTAATCCTCACCTGAGGATATTTTCCCATTGATTTTTAGAGAGAATGGAAGGGAGAGGGAGAGGGAGAGAGAAACATCGATGTGAGTCCCTTTCTTCTGAGCCAAAACTTTTCCAACTTTGAGTCCTTGCCAAATCTCACCTCCACCATGACTTTATACCCGCCTGAAGCTTCAACTACCATTTCTGAACTCCTAGACCACTTTTTTCCTGGGTCACTTTTATAGCTGTCATTCTTTGCCAATTATCTTCCTCTCTGTGTGCATCCTATCTTCCCATTGGGATGATAAATGCCTTCAGTGGGCGCCCATGCTGTGTTATATCTCCCAACCTTCTCCTCTCCACTGTTCTGCTCAGGCTGCCTTTATTTTCATGCCAGACATGGGTTCAAGTCCTTGCATTTCTCTTCCTATCTTATTTCCCCACAACCTCTCAGTGGCTCTCAGAAGTCTACAAGGTAGGCACTAATACCCTCTTTAGGCCTCTGGCAGCTACACTCCTCCAAGGAGGAGTGGCTAAGGGCTCTCACTGCCCCGCAAAGCCCATCTCACCCTAGATTTCTGCAGCCTTTAGGTGAGGGCAGAGAACTTGGGCAGCCCTGAGGAGAGATATCGACACATGCAGATGAGCCCCTTCCTAGGAAATGCCTCTCTGAAGTCTCACAGGTGGGTGGGATTGGAATGGGGCTGGCGCATCTCCTTACAGTAAGGTCAGGTGACTTGGCCAAAATCACAGTAGAGTTGACTCTTGGCTGTGATTTCAGGGTTTCTGACTTGCCCTGGAGTCACCCCATGGCCTTACGTAGGTAAGGGCACCACCATAGACAGACGTGCAAGAACAGATCTGATCCCACATACACACCTGGGAGAAAAGGTGCCTGAAAAAGGTCTCCAGGAGGTGGCTCCGCTGCTCCCGCGTCACGGCTGCCCTCAGCAGCTCCTGCTCCCGCATCTCCCACTCCTGGAAGCTCAGCCCACTTTCCTTCAGAGCCACCCGAAGGTTTTCCACCAGTGCCTGCCGCTCTTCCTCCAGGTTAAACAGCAGCACCTACGGAGGCAGCAGGAGGGAGAGCAACCATTTGTCAAGGCCTCTTGGGTCTAGGACAGCGGTTCTCAACCTGTGGGTCGCGACCCCTTTGGGGGTCGAACGACCCTTTCACAGGGGTCGCCTAAGACCATCGGAAAACACATATATAATTACATATTGTTTTTGTGATTAATCACTATGCTTTAATTATGTTCAATTTGTAACAATGAAATTGGGGGTCACCACAACATGAGGAACTGTATTAAAGAGTCGCAGCATTAGGAAGGTTGAGAACCACTGGTCTAGGAGCTTTATATGAATTTTGTCGGGGCCACTGGAAAGAGAGCCCTTGCAAAAGACACTGTTATTTCCTGGGCTCAGGGGTTAAGTGGTTTTCTTATATGTGCAGAGGTAGCATTCAAAGTCACATACATGTATGAAGCATTCTTCCCTCCCTGTTCCATACTGGAGAAGGGGAAGGCAGGGAGGCCAGAGGATTGAGGGGACCATGAGCCAGACACTCAGAGCTGAAGATCAACCTCTGATGGACTCCCCTCCGAAACCTTTAACAAATCACTCCAGCCTGAAATCAGGGGTCAGGGAGGAGCACCCAGCTTCTTCCAAGGAATCCCAGCCGGGACCTGCCACAGTGGCCTTAGAAAGGGAGGGGCAGACTGCATCTGCAAGAGGAATAGGGGACTGTGGAGATCACATCCAGCAGGTCCAGAGCAGGACAGATGTGCTCAAGTTTCTCTCCCTATCAGGTACTACAGCCAATAACCAGAAGCCAGAAACCCTGTGGGGCCCAGTGCTCTTTTCCCTCCACCTGGCTGGCCGTGTCTGTGGACGAGGAGCCAGGGGCCAGCGGGGCCATACCAGGTCATACTCCTTGGGGATCTTGAGCAGCAGGGTACGGTGTCCACGGTTGTTGGAAAGGATGAGGTTGACCTGCTGCAGGGGCCGCAGCTGGATGATGCGGAGCACAGAGAGCCTGCAGTCCAGGACACGAACCTGCCCGGGTTGCAGGTGCACAAGCACAGGCCGGCAGGGCTCCTTGCGGCCCTGCCATTCCAACGCTGGGGAGAGACAGGGCTGGGTCAGCTGGGGCCTCCGGGCCTGCCCTGCTCGAGGCACATCTAAGGGAAGAAGGCCAGCTCAGAGCTGGAGTTATATCAAGGTCTCCACAGCTCCTTGCCTCTTCTTGGGTCCTGAGGAACACCCCCCCTCCCCCTCACCAAGAGTCCCATGAGAAGAATAACTACCATTTCCTGAGTGATTACCATGTGCCCAACACGGCATCAAGTACTTTGCATGAACGAATTCATTTAGTCTTCATAAATCGATAAGGTAAGTGCTATTATTATTCCTACTTTACAGATAATGAAAAGTAAGTTTAGAAAACTTAAAGATCTGCCTAAGGCCCAGCTGGTGGGATCAAGATTCCAATCCTCAGTCAGTCTGACTCTAGACCTTCATTAATTACTTCTATGTTGCCTGAAATTCCAGTGTAAGATGCACAAAGCAGCAGTTCTTGGGAATTTGTGAGTCACAGAAACCCTGTGAAATGTAGTCCAGGTTCTGTGACTCCTCCCCATGGGACCTTCAGGAGGAACTACAGAGGTGGGAGGACTCCAGGACCAACTTCCACCCAATGCCCCTGTGGCCCTCCCCCCTGCCCGGCTGCCAGGAGGCCTTTCCTTAGGCTGCTGAGGTGGAGGAAGGGGCGGTCGCCCTGAGTCAAGTCCTCCTTCTCACCACCATGGCCAGCCCCAGGCTTACCTTCCACGCCCTCCACGAACTTCTCAGACTTGATGCTTTGGCAGTTCTGGCCTTGGAGCTTCTTGAAATTTCTCTTCCGGAGCCGGGCAACAATCCAGGCAACAAGCAGGCTCACTGGCAGGGCAGAGGCAGTAGGATGCTCAGAGGGAGGTCTGGGGAGATCAGTGGCTCCTTTGCCAGACTCCTTTCCTTGCCAAGACCCCTGCTTTCCCCAAGTCCTCGATCTGTCCATTCTCAAATTATAAAGCTGCCTTCAGAGAGGCGGGGAGCTGCTTTGCATCCTATGGGGAGTTTGGGTAGCATCTAAGATGCCTGTGCAGGCTCCTCCTCTGCTTCCAGCACTCAGGTCCTCTCCCAGCTAGAGCTGGACCCACTCCTCCAGGCTGCTGGTCCACCCACACACAAGTTCAAAGCCTCTGCCCAGTAACTACATCCCAGCTCTGGTTCTCCAGCAGGGCATTGCCTCTGACAGGCCCAGGCTCCTGCAAATAGCTGTGGATTGTGGATTCCTGGGACGCCTGACCAATCTGGGCCCTGAGAACAGGGGGGCAGTTCTCCCTGGTGCCAACTTATCCGCAGGTCAGACACCTCTTGTGTCTCCTCCTGCTCTGATGTTTTTGTCATCTGCCCAGAGGAACATGGCTTGTTGCCACAGATGGAACCAACCCTACTCCCAGCTTGCATCTCTTACCCAACCCCACCCTGCCCATCACTGTTACCCAGGGGGAAGCAGCAGAGGGTCCCAATGGTGACCCCAAAGCCAAATCCACTGCCCTTGAAGTAGTCCCGCTTGACAGGCGGAACACAGGCTGGCAGGCCCTCCGTGCTGAGTTGTCCTGGCTGTGGGCAGGGGTCTCCTGGGGAGGCAGAGAAAGCTAGAGTCCTGGGGGCTCAGGCACAGCATCACTGAGGCGGTTAGGGTGGCAGAAAGGGGGAATGGTGGTGGCTCTGGGTACCAGAGGGGAGGAGGCTGCTTACCCCTGCCATTGTCCCAAGAATGTGGTGTTTTTCTACTTGGGTAACAAGTGGGGTCCAAAATGAACCTCAACCTCTATCTTTCCCTCCTATGCACATGTGTACACACACACACACACAGAACCCTTCTGTTGTTACTGCTGTGGGGTTGGGATATCTTCACTACACTCAGCCTTCCTAGTGTTCCACCCACCTCCAGCCCCATCCCAGCTGAATGTGTCTCCTTACCAGGACTCTCTGAGTCTCAGCCCTGCCCCCACTTGGGCACCTGCAGTTGTGCAGAAGGGAACCTACGTAGCTGTATGTGGCAACCTTGGTGCCCAGATCCAAAGTTCCCAAGGGCACAACCATAGTTCACTCCCCCCTTGGAGTCTACTGTCCAGCCACACTGACCCAAACCCACGGTTGAGGAGGAAAGAAACTCCAGACCCCAAACCCCTGCAAGCACCCCTTGGCCACTCACCCACATGCCAGAAAAAGACATTGGGTTGCAGGGCACTGGGGTCCACGTTGGTGACAGCCACTAGAACATCCCAGAGGGATGTGTTTCTGATCTCTGCGATCTCTTCCTCAGAGAAGAGTCTGGGAGGGAAAGAGGTGGGGTGTTCTCAGAGTGGGAGAGAGATGCAGGCCCTAGGCCCAGGGATCCAGATGAGGAAAGAGCCCCAGAGGGACTGGGGAGGGGGCAGTGCCAGCTGGGAATCAAGAGCCCATGGGGGCTGCTTATAGGCAGAGGGTCTGGAGTCTGAGGTGGGAACCCAGGCAGGCCTTACCCATTCCTGGTGTTCTCAAACCAGTAACGGTCACCATCCCGCAGACGCACAAACTGGTCGAGGACTATGGTGCTGAAGAGGGGCCCGGGGTTCCCGTGGCTCTCTAGGAGCCCCCCGGGGAGCAACTCCAGCAGGGACAGGTCCTGGTTGTACAGAGCAGCGGTGGCTTCCAGCACCTGGGGCAAGAAGGGACAGGAATGAGTGTAAGGACCTCGCATCACCCTCAGGCAAAGAGATGGTTCCCAGGGATCAGCCTTAGGGATAATAATAAATGACAGTAACAGTAACTCACTTATTATGCCCCAGGCACTGCTCTGAGTGCTTTGCATAAGTTCACTCATTATGGGAATCCTCTCACAGATTCAGCTGCCTATTTTACAAAGTTGGAATAGAATAGGCGGCCAATCCCCTATGTAACTTATTCTTGGAAAGGTATACAAGTTCAAGAATCAAATCAGTGCAAATGTTAAATGGTAGAATGATGTGTTAGAAAAGGTTTCCATTTTTTAGATCTAAAGAAGTGTTTAAACAATCAAATCCCTACATATACATTGTATTTTAAAGACAGCCTTCAACAATATATGATCCCTACACATACATTGTATTTTAAAGACAGCCTTCAACAATATATGGGCAGCATAGTCTACCTCACCTTTACTTTAGTTCTTTTCTTCACAGTGTAAATAAGCACTTGACCAGTTTAATCCCAATGAGGTGCAATTGAAGCTAAAGATGTGCTACTTTGGGTATGCCTGCTGATTCTTATCTTGATGTTGATTTTATAAAGTTCACAAGCCCCACACACGTATCACGTCTTTGTTGGTCTTTCAATTCTCTATTTTCCAACAATTTTATAAAATAGTAAGGGCAAAGGCAATAACACTGTCATCAATTATAGAAACCCTGTTGTACCAAGATGTTAAGGAGCTAAAACTAGTCTGTTGGCGGGTGATAGCGTAGGGTGTGAGAGCTGACTCCCCTAAGGCAGCTTGAATACCAGTGTGCGAAGGCATGACTTGTTCCTGGGTCAATAACCTTCTTTATCCACCCAGGGAATCGGGGAAGAGTAAATGAGGTAATGCCTACTAAGTGCTTGGCATGCAATAGATGCCCAACAAACATTTGCTGGATCTGCACAGTTGCAGAGCCTAAAGCCAACTCCTGCTGGTCTGGTCACCTACAGCCTGGTGTGTGATACTGGGAAAAGCAAGGTGGGTGAGCCCTGGCCCTCTCAGCAGGTGCTTGTCTCTGGTACACGGGTCTCACTGCCCATCTTCTATGTCTCAGGCCAGTGTTCCCATGGCCCTCCCACCCTGCCCTCTGGATCCCGACCACTCCTCACGGTGCCATGACTCTGGGAGAGTGCAGGGTTGATGTCCTGCCATCTGGTAATGGGAGGCAGGCCCAGTGCTTCCCTGGCCTTGGTGTAAGAGGGCAGGCCCAGGTCCCGGCCCCGCTGCAGGCTGCTGGCCACGTGGTCAGTGCGGGAGTACTTCAGTGGCCCGGGCCAGAAATCTGTGAATTTGACAGCAGAGAGTCTCAGGGAGCTCAGCAACACCAAAGCTCCTCCGGCCCATGCCCCAGGCTTCCACCAGCCCCATGGGACGTAAGCTGTACAGAGGGAGCTGTGGCCATTAGGTCAGAAGCTCTCTCAGCAGTGAGACAGCGCAGGTTCCCAGCCCTGGATACCCCACCCTGCCTGGCTCTGGAGCTCCAGCTGAACCTCCTCCCAGGGGCCAGGGGTGCACAGCCTACAGGCCAGTCTTGGCCTCACCTCGCACATCCTCAACCACCACATGGTCTTCTTGTTCAGCAATCTGGGAGGCCATGCCCAGTAGCAGCGCATCTACATCTTCAGCTCTTTGTAGGTTTGGGTGCTATGGGAGTGAGGAGAGGAGACGAGTGTGGCTAATGGGACCAGAATTTGGGCAGCCAGACTCCCTCCACCTATAGTCTATGTTCTCTATTCAGTCCTGCTGTTCACCATGCTGCTGGGAGAAAGGTCTCCATGAGCACAAGGGACCAAACACTTGATTTCTTCTATTTTATTTTGTTTATTTATTCATTATTTCTTCTATTTTAGAAACAGACTTGAGATCATGGTTGACAAAGACACTAGAAGATATAGGTCTTGGTTCTTGTTCTGTTTAGTAACCAGCTGTGTGATTGTGGGCAAGTAATAGGATCTCTCTGAATTCAGTGTCCTCCCCTTACTACAAAGGGCATTATAACTTTAAAAATAATGAAATAAAATTAATAAAGTAATAAAAAGGGATTAGGAGGACACTGAGGTCTCTAAACTCAGCCCCATGACTCTGATCCTATGCCTTCCTCTTCTCTCTTTTCCTCCCTCCTCACTTCCCTCTTATGAACTCTGAGTTTGCTTTAAATTAATGATCAATGCTCTTGATCCACACTGACCTGGTTTGGGTGGACAGACTATCCCTGGTAATCTCTCAGAATCCCTCCCTTCTCCTTGCCTCCAACCCACAAAAACATATTCATTTGCTGCCCTAGGTAAGTCTAATTGGAGAGTTTCTTTGGGGGCTGGGATGACTGGGGCACTCCAAGGCTTACAGGGGACTCAGAGCTGTCAAGGGAGAAGAAAAACCTTGAGGAAGCAAAAAATGTAGAGCCACACTTGCACAGTCCTGAGGTGAGAATAGAGGGTTGACTTTTGACCATGTACAGCTACCCGGTCATCTCAGACACTGGTAGGAGAGATGGCTTTGGTCCCCAGGCTGCCTCCTCCACCCCAGCCCATCCCAGTTGCTGGCTGTCTCAGCCCTACTGCCCACCTTCACCACATACCCTAATACATGTGTATGTGTGTGCGCGCACACACACACACACACAAACACACACAATACACATACCCACCCACATATATGTCCCCAGCTCTGACCTCTCGGCTCCAATAGCTGTTGCAGACCCGGAGAGCTCTGGAGACGCTTGAATTCCGATTGATGACCCTCTGGAAGTGGCAGCTGGCATTTCTGAAATGCAAGGAGCAGGGGAGTGGTGACTGAGACCCCAGGGTCCTAATGTTGCACACAAACACACACAATACACATACCCACCCACATATATGTCCCCAGCTCTGACCTCTCGGCTCCAATAGCTGTTGCAGACCCGGAGAGCTCTGGAGACGCTTGAATTCCGATTGATGACCCTCTGGAAGTGGCAGCTGGCATTTCTGAAATGCAAGGAGCAGGGGAGTGGTGACTGAGACCCCAGGGTCCTAATGTCAGGCATCAGCTCTGGTCTCTCAGGCTGTATCGAGGGGCCAGGCCATGGCTTCCCTGAGGTGGTATGTGTTCAGGGAAGGTCCTGAACAATCTGATTTTGGGAAGGTCCCTCTCCCACATCAGACCAAATATCTAAAAATGCACCCATAGAGTTTGCTCATACTCTCTTTCTCTTTCCACATGTACATAGACATTTTGAACGAATTTGTAATTGTTCTTTTGAAATTACTTGTCTATGAATAACTCAATTGCTATGATTCCTTGGCCATCATCAGGCATATCCAGAAATTGTTCCAGCCCTGGCCCAGTAGCTCAGTTGGTTAGAGCATCATCCTGATATGCTGAGGTTGTGAGTTTGATTCCCGGTCAGGGCACATAAAAGAAACAATCAGCGAATGCATAAATAAGTGGAACAACAGAAATTGTTCCAGAAAAAATTTTTTTCTGAAATTATAATGCAGATCTGCTCCTGTTTGGGGGCTGATGTGGTGGCCAGGGGGCTTTGCCGATGCCAGCGTGAGCTAGTCAGGCTTAGCCAGGGCGATCCTAGGGGCGCCGTCTCAGCATCTGGGCCCCTCCCTGCCCAGGCCAGCGTCCCTCCCCTCTGAGCGGGTTCCTGTGGGCGGCCTGCCAGGCCGTGAAGACCCTGGAGCCTTCGTGTGGCCCCAACCTCAGCCCCTGTGCTCACAACCACCTTTGTCGCAGCCACAGGCCCCTGGTCTCCTTGGGGTGACCTCGCCCAGGGCGCAGGCTGCCTCCGCTGGCGGAAGCCGG